CCCCACTCTCGTCGGGCTGTGCCTTTATCTGTTGCTGTTATCATTTTGCATGCGCACATGGAGATCAAGAAGTCAACTTTGTGGAGTTGGTTCTCACCTTTACGTGGGTTTCATCCCCTATACTCAGTGGGCTCTGCCTTAGTTTCCTTCTCCAACCTGAGGGTCTTTGCAACCCCTTCCAGTCTACAGTGTCGTTTGCTGGGGCTGGTGTGGATGGAAGGGGCGAGTATATGAAAGAGTGGCAAAGAGCCGAAAGGGAGGGCGTGTGTGTGTGTGTGTGTGTGTGTGTGTGTGTGAAGCCGACTCAGTGTGGGTGTGAAGCCCGAGAGGTATCTATCTGGGGTAGGCCCTTGGAGTTGGTGGGGACCAGGGTCGGGTGGCTGCGGGCGTGGCCCCATGGCTGGGGAGCTCTTCTTGCTGGTCCCAATTCAAATTTGTCCCGGACTGAGTCAGCCGCTGTGGATGGGTGTGGCAGGTCCAGGAGCGCCATGGAGGTTGGGCTGGTCACACAGAACGTCTATGTCCGAATGTTCTGGGGCCGTTGGGAGCATGTGCCCAGTGTCCCGCTACCTCCCACCCCCAGTTTCCTTTGGCATCCATCCCGGTCTTGGCGCCTCTAGCTTTGGGATTTTCCGTCTCTCCTGCCTGGAGCTGTGACTCATAAGACCCAAGGGATTTGCTCGGAATCCCCATTTTTTCGGAGTTGGATTGGGGGTGAAGGCTCTTTAGAAACTAATCCCCAGGACTATGTAGTGCCCTCCCTCCTCATTCAGTCACACCCCAAACCCCACTCTCTCGTTCTTTGCCTCTTCCCCACTGGGGTGGGGATGGGGGTCCCAACTAAATTGAGAGCCTTTGGTGGAACTATGCTGGCTTCTCTGGGCGACAGGTAGGCAGTCAAATGCTGACAGCCTGCTTACCTTGCCAGGTGTTTGGAAAGGCACCAGCCAGAGCCAGAGGTGCTTTGGACATATTCTGAAATAGCCCAGCCCCTTCCAGCCCCTTCCAGCCCCTTCCAGTCCCTTCCAGATGTCATTGCCCAGTCTTCCCCGACAAATCCTGAGATCTGTGGCAGATCAGGGACCCTTGTCACGGGACAACACCTCACAAAGCCCCATCCGCAGGCTGAGCAGCCCAAAGTCCTGAGCGCAGTGGAAGACCGCATGGATGAACTGGGTGCCAGCATTGCGCAGTCCCGCCGTACTGTGGCCCTCATCAAGGTCAGGACCCCCACCCCCACCCCTGAATCAGACTTCTGAAAGTGTGCATGAGCTTTGAGGGTGGTGCCATCCTCTCTAGACAAGCTCTGAGTTGGGACTGCTCATCCTTACTAAGCAGGAACTCCTTGTTTCTCAAGACAGTCGTGCTCAGATCCAGAGCTCAGACTGGTCCTCTGTCCTCCTGGTAGGGCTGGGTGGGCACACACAGTCAGGAGAGCAGCCAGGCTGAGTTTTTGTCTCCACTGCCCAATGGTGTAGAGCGCAGCTGCCACAGAGAGGGAGAGGGTGAGCCAGATGTTCGCCGAGGCCACATCCACCCTGCAGAATTTCCAGACTGAGGTGCTGGGGTTCATCGAGGAGGGAGAGGCCACTTTGTTAGGACGCTCCCAGGGTGACCTGCGTAGACAAGAGGAACAGCGTAGCCGCCTGAGCCGGGCGCGTCACAACCTCAGTCAGGTTCCAGAAGCTGACTCAGTCAGCTTTCTGCAGGTGAGGGCCACTGATGAGCCACAGCGGAAATTGAAGGGATGGGGGCGGGAGTTGGGAAATGGTGGCAGAGGCGACTGGTACCTGGCCTCCCAGGATACTTGCTACCTTCCCCGGCTGGGAGAAGCTATGGCTGGCAGAGCCTCAATGGGTGTTTGTCACAGGAGCTCCTGGCACTACGGCTGGCCCTGGAGGAGGGGTGCGGCCCTGGACCTGGGCCCCCCAGGGAGCTCAGCTTCACCAAGTCCTCCCAAGTGGTCAGAGCATTGAGAGACATCCTGGTCTCAGCCTGTGCCAGCCAGTGGGAGCAGCTTCGGGGGCTGGGCAGTGACGAGGATGAGCTGCAGAAGCTCGGCTCAGAAGGTAGGTGCCCCTTCAAGATGACTCACACACACAGAGAGAGATACCCTTTGCACCCCAGCTCTGGTGTCCAGCCAGGAACGGAGGAGGGAAAGTGTCTGGCATTGGGGGAGGGGACCTTAAACCTGCCAGGAACTGAAGCCACCCACCTTGGAAGGCAGAAGGGATTCTTCTTGCTTACCCACCATCAAGGCCTCACATACAAGGAGGCGAGGGTGGGGAAACTCAAGCAACATCCATGCATGAGAACACGGTCCCATTTGGGTGTGTCTGTCACCAAGCAGCTAGAGGCTTTGGGAGGAAGGGTGGAGGGAATTACAACCATGGGTGGTGGGGGGCACTACCTAGGGTAACCCTGCAGCCAGCCACAGGTAATCAGAGAGATGGCTTCCCCACCACTCCTCCTCCTGCAGCTGAGGTGGAGTCCCAGGACCCAGACAGCACCAACCTTCTGGAGAGTGAAGCTCCGAGGGACTATTTCCTCAAGTGTAAGTAGCCAGCCCACTGCTACCAAGGCGCCCCTGTTAGCCGCTAGGCTTCAGAGAAAACACAAATCCTTAATCTCAGGGGCGAACAAGGTCACCTCCATGGGTGGTCTCCATTACATCTCCATGGGTGGTCGCCATTAGTTGTGCGTCTCACTGGTCCTACAGAGGAACAAGGCTGGGGGGGTCCCTGTGGGGGACTATCCAATCCCAGCCTGGCTGTGATTTCTGTCTCTCTCCCATCCATGGGGTCAGTTGCCTACATCGTGGACTTGGACAGTGACACAGCGGACAAGTTCTTGCAGCTTTTTGGAACCAAAGGTGTCAAGAGGGTATTATGTCCCATCAACTACCCGGAGTCACCCACCCGGTTCACACACTGTGAGCAGGTGCTAGGGGAGGGCGCCCTGGACCGGGGCACCTACTACTGGGAGGTGGAGATCATTGAAGGATGGGTCAGCGTGGGTGTCATGGCCGAGGGCTTCTCGCCGCAAGAGCCCTACGACCGGGGCCGGCTGGGCCGGAACGCGCACTCGTGCTGTCTGCAGTGGAATGGGCGTGGGTTCTCTGTCTGGTTCTGTGGGCTGGAGGCCCCACTACCCCACGCCTTTTCGCCTACTGTTGGGGTCTGCCTGGAGTACGCTGACCATGCCCTGGCCTTCTACGCAGTTCGAGACGGAAAGCTGAGCCTTCTTCGGAGCTGACCATGCCCTGGCCTTCTACGCAGTTCGAGACGGAAAGCTGAGCCTTTTTCCCAAGCTCAAAGCCTCCAGGCCACGCCGCAGTGGTGCCCTGGCCTCCCCCACTGACCCATTCCAGAGTCGCCTGGACAGTCATTTTTCAGGACTCTTCAACCACAGGCTCAAGCCTGCCTTCTTCCTGGAGAGCGTAGACGCCCATCTGCAGATTGGGCCGCTCAAGAAATCGTGCATATCCGTACTGAAGAGGAGATGATGCAGGGCTGCAGTGGCCTCCTCCTGCAGTGGCCTGGCCCGTATTTCCTGGGAGAGAGCACCAGCCTCAGAGACCCCCACACTCCCAACTGTTACACTTGTAGGGTCTCTGCCTTCTCTAACTAGACCTTCCACTGTTCAAGGCAAGGGTCCCCAGCTCCTTGCAGGACGTGTTTTGGGAGGAGAACTTAAGCTGGGACAACTCCAGACTGGACCAGCCCTTCTTTTCCAGGTTTCTAGAACTACCTGGCACACAGTAGGTGCTCAATAAACATTTGTTGAATGCTTGACTCCCGTTTTCATTCCTCACTCACCAGAAATTGCTATGACTTCTCAGCCTTCAAGATCTGAGAATAGGGCAAGCGAGATGGCTCTGCCAATGAAGGCGCTTGCCTCCAAGTGTTGGGACCTGAGTTTGATTCCTGAACCACACATGGTTAGAAGATGAGAACTGACTCCTACAAATTGTTCTCTGACCTCTAACTGTGTGTCCTGGTACACAAGCCAGGCAGAAACACACACATATACAGTAACTGACTTCTGGCTCTAGGCAGGGACAGTCAGAGTGGCATCTCCCTGAGTCCAGCTCCATAGTCATCCTTGTTGCTCATGTTAGCTTTGGATGGGAAGAGGGTATCCTCTGCTGTATTTTTCATCCTTGATGCCACAAACCAATTCGGGACCTGCTTTGTATGTGTTGTATCCAGAATTAAACACAGAGCTCACACACCCAAAGCCAAGAGCTGAGCCGGATGCTTGAGTGTGGACAAGAGAAATGGAAAGACAACCTGGGCTTCCTTCACACACACACACACACACACACACACACACACACACACACACACACACACACACACACCTCTGAGCCCCTGGAGGGACTTGCCTGACACCACCCAGGGTGTGACTGGAATAAAAGGACATCTACAAGAAAGGAATCTGTGTCCTCTGTCACATCTCTGTAGCCATCATAGCCCGCACCCCAGCACTCTAGGGACCTCCAGCCCTGTGTCTCAGGAGAGGAGCTGGCTGGTTTCCAGGAAGACTCAGTGCCCTCCACCACCCCAAAAACTCTCTGCCCTGTCTGGGACAACCTGGGGCTATACAGAGCGACTGTGTTTCCAGGCCAGCTCCCTCTCTAGGTTCTTAGTAGCCCGGGTGCACCCCAGAGGGCAGGGGGCAGACAGAGAGGCCTCCGAGCAGCTATACAAGGTCAGACAGGACAATGGGTGGGTTGTGCAGCCAGACAGCAAGGCCATACAAGTCCAGCCCCAGCCGCCTAAACTGCTAAAAATAGCCCCTCCCACAGAGCCGGCCTGGCCCCAGCAACCAGGATGTTTTTTTTCCGGGTGGGGCCTCCCTGCTCCTGCTGCTTTGTGTTCTTAGCCCTGTTCCCATGGCAGCCACAGGTCCCACAGGTCCCAGGACATCTACCCTCGGAGCTGTCAGAGGCTGTTCTGCTGTCTCCCACAGTGGGCCAGCTTGGGCTTCCTAGAACGTTTTCTCACCTGCAACAGTACCTATCTTCCACAGAGCCCTGACAAAAAAAACCTCAATCCCCCCCCCCCCCCCCCAATTCTTCTTTCTGCAACTCTCTGCTCCCTGGCATGCCCTGAATGTAAGTATGGCAGACAAGGGCCTCATAGGCCTGGAGCTTCCCTGCTGGCATCTGGCTCCACCATTCCTGGGTATGGTTCCAACCACTCAGAAGTATCTCGCTTGTAGAATGAGTCCCAGTTTCCAAATGACTGTCAGGGAACCTTAAGACGGCTCAGCTGGTGAGTGCTGTAAAACCCGATGACCTGAATTTGATTTCCAGAGCCCACCCAGTAGAAGAGAATCAACTCCTGCAAGTGGTTCTCTTGATTACCACGCATGGGCTGTGGCAAGTGTGCACCCATGCCCATACATGCGCACATGTAAAACAAATAAGTGTGAAAAGGGGAACCAATGAGCATCATTTTCCCAAATCCCCTTGAAAATGGAGGAGAATGGTGTTGGCTTGCCCATGGCTGCACAGGGAGCAGGGTTCAGAGCACACCGCCCCAGCCCAGTCTGGAATGTGATGCACAGCTCTGAACTTCCTCCCAGACCTTAAGCTAATGCTAGGTGAGTTAGTGTCTGTCCACATGCATGTTGTGTGTATCTGTATGTATATATGTCTGCCTGGTTGAATACTTGTGTAGGGGTGGTTGTGTCTAGCCTTGTGATCCCTACTCCCTGCCCCAGCATTCCTCCAGGAACCGGCAGTGTGAGGGGATGTATCCCTTCATCAGTTTTCCCAACACTTTAATCTGTTTTAGTCAAAACTGCTTGAAGCCCAGAGTGGTAGCTCACACCTGGAATCCAACACTCGGGATGCCTATACCAGCCTGGGCTACAGAGTGAGAGCCTACCTTAAACAAAACAAAAACAAACGATTCTTTAAAACCTTTTTTCTTTTTTTAAGATATGGTCTCACTCTGCAACCCACATTGTCCTTGGAATATACTATGTAACCCAAGCCGCCTCCAGTCCCAGCAATCCTCCTGCCTCTGACTCCTAAGTACTGGGACTGTAGACATACAGCACCCTGAGAAAATGTTAAGAAGAGAAAAAGCCAGAGGATTATGGCTCTGGCCCCGTTGTGTTTTATAAGTGAGAAAGCCCGAGTACTTAGCCCAGAGTCCCCTCTTCGGGACTCTCTCTCTACTCCGTGGCATAGGTGAGTAGTACTGGGAATGAAGCTTACAGACAAGAAGCCCTGGGGAGAATCCTAGCACCCCAAAAGGGGAAGGGGAAAATAAATTCAAAAAAAGAGCTTAAACGAACCATGTTCTCTGCAGGCCCCGGTTCCCACAGCGCCAGAGCCGCTGCAGAGGTGCCTGTGGTCTGTGGTCTCCGAGGCTCCCGCTGGAGCCCCAGACAATGGGGAGGGGTGAAGGTTTGAGCAGTAGCCGTGAACTCAATACAGCTCCCTGGAGCCAGGCAAGGAGCCAGCCTCCACTTGAGCTTTGTTTCTGTGGGAAAATAAGGCCCAGGGCGCAAACAACCGGCTGAGAATGGGCTTGTGCCTCCCTTGCTCTTGGCAGCTGCAGGCTGCCAGGTCCTGGCGCTCCGGGAGGGAAGAGGCCCACCGCCCTGCTCCTGCCCTTTTCCCGGGCACGCCTGCGGCCCTCCTCCCACACCGAGCCTGCGAGTCTGCGCAGGGCCTGTGGCGAAGCTGTAGGGCCTGGCGGGAAGATGGGCTGGGCTGGGTGCGGCTGAGATTTGCAGACAGCACTGCAGGGTTGGACTTGGTTTGGGGGCCCAGGAAGGAAAGTAACTTTAGTTGCAGAGTCGCTGTCCCATCCAGCTACAGCCAGCACGCACATTGCATTCAGCGGCAACAGTAAGAGGAGCCTGGAAGGTAAGGCCGGTCCCTCTCTGTACAAATCCCATCTTTTAGTGGATGCCTGAGACCCGCGGGACAGAGTCCCAGGAAGAGACTCAGGCAGAATGTTTACCTAGCTCATTCCATCCCTGACACTAGCAAACAAACAAACAAGCAAAAAAACCCAAATGAGGACTAGAGAGACGGCTCAGCAATTAAGGGCACTTGCTGTTCGTCCAGAGGACACAGGTTCAGTTCCCAAGACCTACATGTGGCTCATTACTGTGAGCAAGTCCAGTTCCAGGGATCTGACCCCCTCTTCTGGCCTCCTCGTGTACTGCACACATGTGTTACACAGACATCAGACATACATGCAGGCAAATACACACAAAATAAAAATAAATATAAAGGGGGGGGATTGTAGGCTTAGAGTGCAGAGGCTCTGTGTCTTTCCCTAGTGCACTTAGAGATGCTAGGCAAAGCTGGCGACTTCACAGACTCAGCGTTAGACACAACCTGAGACGAACGCGAAATAGTCTGATAATTTAATACTTTCCTTACCCTCCCTCTTTTGTGGTTTTCCTAAACAGGGTTTCTCTGGAACTCACTTTGTAGGCCAGGCTAGCCTCCAACTCAGAACTCCACCTGTCTCTGCCTCCCTAGTGCCAGTATTAAGCATTCGTGCCACTACCCCTGGTTTGTGTGGTGCTAGCGATGAAACCAGGTGAAGAAGACCCCCCCACTACCACCCCACACAGCAGGGGCTCCCTCCCGGACCCCAGGTTAGGCACAAACCACACCCAAACACCTGTTTTCACAGAGAGATTCTTTATTAACCAGGGAAGAAAAGTTAAAGTGGCTGCTTCGTGACTCAGACAGAAAACAGCAGCAAATGACCTTGCAGGGGTCATTTTAAGAGAAGAAAGGGGGAGGTCTGTGTTAGAATGTTAGGATGTAGTGATATGTTTTGTTTGAATTGGGTGAACCAAAGGGAGCTGTTGATTGCTGGACCTGGGTAGTCAGCCTCAGGAGGAGGGAGTGGCCAAATAAGGGAATGGACCTGGGGAGGGGTTAGCTTTAGGACTGTAATCTAACGGTTTTCAGCAAGGCAAAGGGAATGGCGGAGAAGGGCGAGGCCTGACAGAGCTTGAGTGGGCTGGTGTCCCTTCACCTGGGGTCTCATGCATGCAAGACAAACCCCGACCAAGTGTCTTAGTTACTTTTCTATCGCCATGATAAAAACAACTTGACCAAAGAAATGTTAGAAGAAAGTTTACTTGGGGTTTGCAGTTCCAGTGGGATGAGTCTATCGTCATTGCTGTGGGAACCATGACAGCAGGCAGGCATGGCGGCAGGAGAGGCTGAGAGCTCACATGACAGCAAGCAGGCATGGTGGCAGGAGAGGCTGAGCGCTCACATGACAGCAGGCAGACATGGCAGCAGGACAGGCTGAGAGCTCACATGACAGCAGGCAGACATGGCGGCAGGAATGGCTGAGAGCTCACATCCTGAGCTGCAAGCACTACACAAAAAGCAGACTAGGAAATAGTGTGAGTCATTGAACTCTCAAAGGCCACCTTTAGTGACATACCTCCAGCAAGGCCATGCCTCCTATACTGCCCAAAGGGCCCACCTGCCTCTGACCAAGTATGTAAATACTTTGCAACACTGACTCCTTTGTGGCTTGGTTCTGGGGCAATGAGGGAATGAAGAAAGGACAGACACACAGACTCACCTACGGAAAAGCTGATGTGCTCTGACAGAGATATACCACCAAAAATAGCCTGCCAAAAACTGAGTGTTTATTTGATACATCTGAATGGAGGCAGTGGGTTTGTGGCACACAGCTGAGCGAGCAGGCAGCTCTAGCCTTTCCCTGTAGGAGGTTTCCGTAGGTGTGTGGTCTCAGGCTGTGGCCACCCCAGGAGGAGGCTGAGGTTG